TTTTTAGAGCGAAACCGCTGTGACTTTCAAAGCCGAGAAACTAAGCAAAAAGTACAAAAATCTAAGACTGTGTTCTTACTGTTGATTCAGACGAGGAAACAGAAAGTTTGGCAACAGACGCTTTCTTTACAGAGGTTCCAGGGTCGAAGTCGTGTTGCCTCTCTGGCGAGTTAAAATTCAGTGCCCTGGTCTCGCCGCCATCTGAGGTTGGAGTGGGGGTACTGGCATGAAGGTGGGAAGGAGTCGACGCCGAGCTCTGAGTGGTCCTTTTTAAAAGACGACTAAAAGGCAACATTAATGCGTTGATATGCCACCTAAGACAATCGCCACCCACGCGTTTGTGCTCAACTGTTTTGGTTGAGGCAAAGGTAATTCAGTGGTAAATAGGTCGCACGCTTTCCACCCAACCTGCAACCGCCACCCACAAAAGTGGCTGATTTATAACATGTAGAGTCAATGCCCACAGGATGCTCACAGCAACAAACGTCTGTGGACTAGACCTCTATATTGAACGGAAGTGGCACTTCCAGTCAAAGGACGTCTATCTCAGTAAGCTTTAAAGACCAGCTATCCTTCTCAACAAAATGCCTGTACAGCAGAGTAATGGAAAAAAAACACGGACGTACCTGCTGAATGAGGAGTCCTAAAAGAGACGAATGGAAAATATTTAGTTATTTCGCGTTTAAGACCATAGACAATTCACAAGCCTTGTCCATACTTTTGCCGTTAATCGAGTATCGGAGCTAGGGGTGTGTTTAAATAGTTCAAAAGTTGTACTGTAGTGAATTACACATTTTTAACTGACAATGCTTAACCAACATTAGTCAATAACATCTACTAGGCAATACAAGATGTCAGATTTCTAATGATCAAGGGGTATGATCTCTTTCCTCCTGACATTTAATGTCACTTATAGCTTACGCTAGAATCGTTTTAGTTTATGGACGAACAAAGGTTTTCGACATATGTTTCCTTTTTATTTACGCCAAGGTAATTAAGCAGCAAAGGCTCGCAATGTAATAAGTGGATTTCGAGCTGCGACTTTATAGAAGAATTAAAGTGGCAAAATTGGTTCTAGGGATTTTCTCTGAACGCTGATCAAGGTTCTGATTGAGATAATGAAGCTGACGATGAGCAAATAGAAGCTGCGACTACTTTGAATTTGAGATTGAAAGACGGTCAACTAAAGTCGCTTGAATGTCATGGGCTTCCTAAAAAGCACGATATTTGAGTTCAGCACGATTCAGGGTACACAAATACTGCAATTTAACCGTCACTTCTTTTAAAAGCTTTGTCACTGGTGGTGAAAAATAGGCCGTATACAATAATAATAATATTAGCAGACAAAAATCACGGCAAAACCGTGATGAAACAGCACAAATTACATTAGAAGCGAAGTTTCATCGAAAACGATCAGGCCATCAATCAGGTGGGCCAACATGAGTGTTGTGTACTTTGAGGTGCTTCTAAGGAACACGATAGTCATCAGTACGCCTGCATGACAAGTGCCCGAGACTCCAGGTTAATGTCACTGATCACTTGGTTTCCATTAACTCGCCAAGTAATAACTCCCGGTCAGTGGTTTAATTGCAATTAGCAGACAACACTACAACACCAGAATCAGCAGTCTCACCAGCGCAACGAACGGTCGGCTTTGATTCTGTTCCTCCCTGGGCTCATCGTGCCTTACAGTGCCAAAACAAACCATACATTTGAATCACATGTACAATGACAACAGGCAATAAAACAGGCCTTGGAAGTAAGCGAAGATGAATTAGCAAATCGGAAGGAATTGTGTTCACAGAAAATAAGGCAAGGCCTAGCATCTCACACGTAACCCCACATACCTAGGGTAAAGCCTCTTAGTTTAGAAAAACACCGACTTGATCAAACCAATGAGATTAATTTATCGTAGATCATGGCGGGCAGACATGCGGATAGATCGGATTGGAGCTGATTCCACCGACGTGGTCGTAGACACAGTGTTGGCATTTAACGATGCTCAATATGAGAGCTTAGTAAGTAGTGGATACTACTAGGGATGCACAGCAATAGAGTGTGCGCTTACAACCTCCCCAAAAACTCAGTTATATTAACTGCAATCACACACAGTATGCTTACTAGATAGGCAGAAGATAATTTTGCTGACGAAGACGGAGACTCTGTGCCGGGTATGACAAGAGACGCAGGAGGGGAGTAGTAGGGGCGCAAGCTTGGGGGCAACTCTTTGCCAACTTGCATGTATTCCACAACTTCCGACGTTGATAAAGCCAACGAACTAAACAAATCTTCTTTATGGAGAGGAGACGCCTGGTGTTTCATTGAATCATCATCTCCTAAAAAGTGAATTCAATACCCTGTGTGGCTCATAGCGGTACTTAAATGATTTGGGATTAAATTCGCACTGAATCCAATTAATGCCCAGTGAATTGTAAATCATCGGTGGAAGAAAAACCGGTGAATTGGCTTACGCTTAACGTTTGTGATTGTCGATTTGGCTAGTTCCTTACATAGGTAGTGCGGATAACATCGCAAATGAAGATATCTTAACGGTAGTAGATCAGAAACGGCGCGGGATAGCCATCCTCCCAAAATACTCGGTCATATAAAAGGACCCAAGTTATCAAAATGCTGGGTTTAAAGAAGGAATTGCATAGCAAATGCCTGGCACATAGAATTTTAAACTAGAATTTGATGGCTGGTTTAAGTGTTTACACATGTCAAATTTACTAGAAATTCATGATTCAGCTGCATTATAAAGGTTGAGTAAACACGCGGAAATATTCAAGCACAGTTTAAAAAGAGGAGACGTAAGTAATGCGCCACTTTTTAATATTTCACTACATTCTGTAGTTACTATGATAGTCGTGATTAAAAAGCAAGCTAGCAAAGATATGATAAAATCCCAATCCCCAAATTACTTTGCTTCTCCACTTCACGTAAGTGATAACCCACGTGACATACTCCTCCTCCTCCTCCACCAACTTTCCCAACGTTTGATATGAGTTTTCCACTATCGAAGCCTTTAACTCGGCGATATTAATGCCCATATCCAATAGGCCTGGCCTGCAGGGGTTTTTAATCAACAACCGATCTCTACGGCGTATATTTGTGACTTGCAGTTAGCCAGAATGTAACTTCGCAATGTCTGATAGCATCGTTGCGGCGTACGCTGTGATGTGTCAGGACATTATCCTTCGAAAACATTCCTAGAGATGTCTTGGAAAGCGTGGTCACGAAACCCCGGGTGCTTATCAGTGATATGAGCTGTCGTTAATAGATTTATGGCACATAAGTGCTCAAGCCTTTACCAGTCTTAACTTAATGACATGTTACCAATGGATCAACAACTTGGCTATTTTCACACACGAATTCATAGAACGTTTTCTCGTCACCATGGCACTCAAGCTTAGGTAGAACAAGTTTTCGAAACGTTTAGAAACTGTTGATTAATTTTATTCTGTAGGATTTGCACCACCTTGAAGAACAACTGAACAGTTTAATCTAATGCAGAGGAAGCAGCTGCACCGCTATTATCCTGAATACCGCAAATGGCCAAAAGTATCTACATTGAAATATCCTGTAACAACTCCACAACCAAACGAAAACGGTAGAAGAAATCCCACTTTGTAAAATTTGCACTAAAACTGTGGAATTACGACTTGTTTTGTACACTATCGATAGGGGGTAGACTTCCACAGTCAAGATATCCAGCATACGCTACGTTCTACCATGGTTTGGAAAATGTGGTTTGTGTAAGAACAAAATGAATCGTTTTGTGGCATATTCTAATTCTATTAACTCCTCACAGTTATAAACTGAATGACGTTCTGGGGTGTGCAGAGAATTGTCGTATGAGCGTACAGTCAAGTTTAAGTTTGCTTTATCGAAATTCATGAACTAAAACTAAACCTTTAACCCAAATATCTGGGAGTAAGTACGGTTTATGCCACTATAGTCGAAAAAACAGTTGACCACTACAGAAATCCTGGCAGGGCATTTAAAAACCCCATTGCTAAAGATGTGTTTAAACCTCTTCGTGTTTGGCTCCAATAATTGAAATAGATTTGGTCTACCCGACTCAACGTCGCTGAAAGTTTTCTCGTCTGAGTTTGCCTGGTCATCGTCTGTGCTGCCGCCGACATCTAAAATGCGAAAAGAGATTTGCATTTACAAGCAAAAGACTGCAAACAACAGGATTTACTTTCAACAAGGGGCACAAAATGCAAAAAATAAATCGACTCCCTACTAAGTTGTATGCAAGAGGTGCCACGTAAATCGCCTTGATTTTAAAATTGTCAGAGTAGACAATGCATGCAGTTTCAAGCGCATTTGAAACTGACTAGTATTAAGTCATTTTGCATGTTTCTAAAATTGGCTTATCTCATGTAAGTGGATAATGGCTTGGCCTAGAATGGTATGCGCGTGGCTCTCAGAATCGAGTGCCATTCGATCGGAGTGCAGCGACCGAAACCAAGAACCGATTCAACGTAAGTCAGTTTTAATTGCCAATTTTACATACACTCGCATTTCTCTATTACTATCACAAGGTAGGAATAATAATAGAACCTCAAGTCGTACCGAATAAGTGACAAGACATTATGAAGCATCGTATCAGTCTTCAGTTCAAACCAATGAGTAGTCCTATTAGACCCAACTGAAGGACACTGAAGTGAAACCCCGATTGTGCACAGCGTAGGTGCAAGCACGGGATTATGCCAATGGTGACGTACGGATAAAGGGAAAAGGATTATGAGCGTGCTAAGGCCTTGTGAAGATAAGTGCGCCACTGAAGCACACAATTTTAACACAATCCATTAGACATGGGTGCCCTACAACTTGAATCCATGTATGGGATGAAAGCATCCAGAACAAAAAACTTAGTGGTCAGTGGTTAAAGGTGCTTTAACACCTTATCAGCTGAGAAGAGATCACGGAAAGTGATGAGTCCCATTCCGGATAAAGCAATGTAACAAGCTAAATAACGAGAAATCGGTAGTTTAATAACCTGTAGGGGTCTCAGAGTCACTGGAAATGCCGATTTCGCAAGAAACCGACGCCGAAAACGTAGTTGCTGAGGACGAATCGTTGACTTTCAGCTGCTTGCTGGCAGACCAGCAACCTTGGTGCGGAGTAGAGGAAAGCAACTCGACAACTGGTCTTAAAAGACCACGATCGAAGCGCTCCGTCCATAGCTGGAATGGAACTATCATCAAGTCGTCGCTGAACCATTGGTCTTTGTCTCCGATTTCTGATGGACGAAAGACATCGTCGCCAATTTTTTGGTACACCAAGTTATCCGGCATCAATGACCACTCGGCAAAGTACTCCACTGCCTTCATGTAAAAATATGAAAAAATATTGAGTTCAAACAGTACCACTGTAATTTTTCGCTGACATGGAAGTTTTTACACATTCTCAGATGTGTTGCAGTGTTATTTTTTTATTTTACAATGACCGATATATAAACTACAAGTAATTGCAAAAAGCAAAACCCATTTTACACTAAGTTGATTTTAATCATCGAGCAAATTAAACAAAATTATGCTCCATTCATGAAAGATTTCAGGACAAGGTATGCGTAATTAACAAAGGCAACATGAAATAATACACACCGCAGAAGGTTTAAAGTAAAAAAATGTGAAAACGGATAGAGGACCTCATTGCTTGACAAATTTTTCAGTCTTTTGAGTAAGATTAAACTTAAAACACAGCAATTGTTATTGCCGTTCCTTCAGAAATTCCGCGACTTTTCAACCAATCGCCTTGCTCTGACGTCAGCAAGCACAATTTCGAGGACGCCCGAATTCTTTTTGCACGGTTTACTTTGCGACGATTCCCCCCCCCTCCCCCGCAGTCCAGATTGGCTGAAGACATCGAAAGCTCGGGCGTCACTGCACATTGCACACCGTGACACGGCGACTTGACTTCACTTGGTTGATGATTTGCCTCTTCTACCAGCCCTCACCACCCGATCCGAGGACGGCTTACATTGTGGAGGGGGAAGGGGGGCGCCAGCCGTCGTTGGCGTTTGCGCTCGCTCTCAGATCGTGTGTGTGTGTGTGTGTTACGGTCAAGCGGTTCTTTCAAAGTGGGCCAGCAATAACTGCGTATTGTTCCTACTATACTCTAACAAGATACATTTTGCATACCACGTGCGATTAACATAACTAGCGCTTCAATGAAGTGGTAATGGCCATTTACTTGTACCTTAAGTGGTTAATTAGAATTTTCCATCGCCACCACGATACCACAGTATACAGAAATATTCAAAATTCCCTATTTTAGAAAACTAAACTTATTTCTTCTACCGCTGTATCTCTTGCCTACATGAATTGGGTCTTAGACACACGGGCTTCGATTAGGAAGAATAGGGGTTTACTAATAGAGCAGTTACGTATTTGGAAATAACGCCACATGGCGATTGATTAGGGTTTTCAGCGGCTGTCTTGCACAGATTATCTTACCACATCTTAATGCGAATCCGAAAACTCACCTGTGTTCTGGCGAGGACAATGGTGAAGGGAGCGGGGTCAGGGCGAGACTTCATAAACCTTTCATATTGGAAGGCAACAACGGGTCGAGGGTATAGCCGGACCGTTCTTGTGTGGTCAGTGAATCCCCCAAGTAGGTATGGGGACTTGAAGAAGCGCACCTGAAGGGGAAAAAGAGAAATAGGTCGAAAAATAAAGACGTTTAGTGGCACGGAACATGGCGTGGCTTCACGTGAATCTTCAGGCATGAAGGCTTCTCAGGAACCCTGCGCAGTTTATTGCAACAGCGAAACAACGCTGAAAGTATTTGGAATGGTGAAAGCTGTCATTGCTAGAACGCTTTCGTAATGGCAGGATGCTGACACCGCATTAGTTAGGTAGCCGTCATTTATAAATCAGGATTTATTGATTAACCTTATTTCCGCTTTAGGCCAATGATCATCTTGGCCCCTCTAAGAAAGAAGAGAGTTTTCTATATTCATTCACTACTGCACCTCCCAATAAATTGTTCCAAACCATAGTAAAGCCGGTAACTGAAGTAAGCAATAGAAATTGCAAATTTTGGAACGAGCAGCCTGTGCCTAGGCTCAAACGGAAACAAAAATTCGGCTATTTAATGACCCGATAGCACCATCAGTGCTATGAGGCAGGGCAGTCTAACACATTAGAGGCAATTGCATCGCATTCATTTGCCCTTTTATGATCGGCAAATTATGGATGAAACACAACTGTTCAAAACCGGCCCAGCATAAGCACCATATGTTTAAGCTCCTCACCATGGCAACGCGAATGGCCACATTAAGTGAATCCTCATCAAGATCAGGGAAAAGGAAATCGGGCGAATTGAGTTCCAGGTTTAGCGAATGGCTTTTTGAGGTTATTTTGTCTTTCCTCGAAACGCCCACTCCTGACGTCTCATCGCGAAGACCACGCAGTCCAGCCAGAGCCTGAACACACACAGAAGTAGAAAAAAACGTGGCTGAACATGCGAATTACAATGGACGATAAGGCAGTTACGATGAGCAGAAAACTCAAACAGAAGTGGCTATTTTAGGCTGCAGGCAAAAAATACACGTGTTAGCGGGAAGCGGCGCAAAGCATTGTTGAATGAATGGATGTTTACCTTAACATGTGTCTGACAAATACCCAATGGATAGTCGAAACAATTGAGATAAAAATTAACAATGGCTGATGTCCGCATTTCTAATCTAGATGGACTTGAAGCCACTACAACTATAATTTCTGTATTACGAACATCAATACGCTTTACCTTTGTAACGACTATAAAAAAAGTTACTTGAGATATAAAATAATTTCAAGGCTTGCGATACAATGAAAATTTCTATTTCATAGGCTTCAAAAGACGTCAGAGTTGGTTGTTGCCTCCTGTAGGAGTACTTGTGAGGTGATGTTTGGGATATTTAAAAGTTTGCAAGCTAAACATTTTCCTTGAGACAGAATTTTGAAATGCTGCCTTAGTTGTCTCTCTTGGTAATTGAGGTAAACAGTAATGAAGGATGCTTCAATGAGCATTGCGTAAAAACCATTTAGCTGAATAGTTTGCAGCAAAAAGCGTAAGGAGACTGCAATGCGGACGTTAGCTGCGTGTGTGGCTCCCACACCACTGACCTCTGATGCCTTGTAAATCTTTGGGTTTGCAAAAACAAAGCGGAAAATATAAAACAGGGATGGCCACTAAAGTTGAGAGTTTAAAATGTAATGGCTGATGAAATCGAAAATATCTCTTTGTGGGGGCTATTCAAGTCAGCTTCACAAATCCTACACATCCCAGGACGCAGGGGTTCTGGAGTTTGATTTGGCTCATTTGCCAGCAAAAGTCCTCTATCGTAAAGCTCCAATCCTTTTGATAACCACACGAGTAAAACAACGGTTAGTGATAAAAGTAGCTACGCAGTCTGCTAAATATCGTCGGCAAATTGTGTATAAGACAATGAAATACGCAATGCACATTAAACACCCCGGTAGAAAGCTTAGTGTGACACAACATGGAATTTCTATAACGCTCCGCGGGTTCAAATTCCATGGGGTTTAGCTATGGAAAGTTCATGATGCAAAAATCTATGCGCACAGCACTTATCTAAAGATCAAGTCAACTGGCAAATTAGGTAGAAGTGCATGACCTCAATTGATGACCGCGAACGGCAACGACCGGGACAGACGAAGCGTCACGTGTGCATAGGACTAATCCCATCTAACATTGCGTGGAACTCTGTGCTAATGACATTAGTAACGTCTTAGATAGCTCAAACGCACAGATTCAAATTTTGTTGCTGTTTGTAGAGCATTCCTAAATGTAAGTTTAATGTTTTACAGTGTCTATTCCTTTTAAATGTGGTTATGTTTGCAACGCACTGGCCTCTCTAACGAGCACTTTCTAATTCAATTTTGGAATGAGAAATGAAACTAAAAACACTCCAACACAACCCTTAATACTTGGCTTTCATTGGTGAATAGCGAATTTCAACTCATGATAGCATCTGAGTGATAGGGAGGTTAAGATTGGCAAGACCACGTGAGATTCGGATTTTGGATGGGGACGCAAAAAGCAAGGTGACTTCAGCCACCCACTGCACGACAAATTTTTCCCCTGTTCTACAAATCTGCAGCATTACCAAACCATTGGACGCATATCCATAAAACCAACTAGATATGATCTCTAGTCCAAAGTGACGTTTTACATGCCTAGCTTTGTCTGCATGATAAATGCTTCCGAGAGAATAAATATGGTCCGTTTAAGCAGGCTTGTTTAAATCCTCACTTTGTCCAACTTAACGTAGTTCTCCTGTAACGCACGGCATCTGACCAAAGCACGCCAGTCTGGCGTGTTCTTTGTCCCTGCATACCTTCTCACTACCCCCACCTTCCTCATAGCACGCCAGTGAATTTGAGGGCAACTTTTACCCGCTACCCTAAACCCCTTCCTAAGCTCTAACCCCTCTGCGTTTGTATATGAAGGTGTGGAATACATCGGGTCCCTTCTACTAGTCTTCTACCGCACGTCTGGTAGTCAACTCTGATTGTGTGACTACCTCAGGGGTACGAAATACTAGTAACCTACCCGTTTAGGTCCCCAATCGGTAGGCACGTTGCACTTCTGCTACCGATGGCTGTTACTTAATTTGGTCATATCCATTAAATTTAGCCTGAGTTGGGCACACGAATCCTAAATCTGGTATCGTCATGTGTATTTGTTTTCACTATTTCGTCTTTTATTCTCCATGAAATTGTACTAAATGCCTTTGTGGAACGTTCTGTACAAATGATTTCAAACAGTTAATTAAATAAGCATTTGATTTTATTTGTGTGGATAGATGTCAGGTTAAAATATGAAACATAACCAAACCGACTTCATTCAGTGACTTTTTTCGTAGAAGAAAACGACAGGGTTACGATCTCAAAAACCAAGTAATAGGAAACTGAGAAACCGTAGCATTCTAGCAGACTGTGGTCGAACAGTGTCCTGACGGATGCATAGAACGGGTGTGGTTTTGGTGGGTAAGTGAGAAGGCCACAAAAACTATCTGTTTCAAGTTTACCTGATGAAGAATGGGTCAATTTTGAGTGTAAAGGAAGCCACTTAAAACAAATACCCATATTTTGCTTAAACTTAAAACGTTAAAAATTCCGCATAGGTTGAAGCATTTATTAAAAAAAAGCGGAAAAGGATTCACTTACCTTATTCAAATGCGATACCAACTGCTTTTCTACAGCTGCGGGCAATTTCGGGACCGGATCCTGTGCGCCTTGGCCATACAACTAACGAGCAGAAAGATTGATGTCCATGGGAAGTGTTAGAATGCTAACGCGGATTGTAGCTATTAATAAATATGCCTTGGCACTCAATCAGACACGAAAAGTGTCGCGTTCTTACGCTTCACAGCTTGACTGCCGTGACACAACAAACCTGAGCAGTACGTAGATAAAGCAGTAACTAGTACCGCAGTGCAATGCCCATGAGGTCAGAATGCCAACTAGTTTACTGAGGAGATTTCTATTCATTCTGAGTGCTTTATCCAAGGACTGAGAAATGGCAGGAGCGAGCTAACGGTACAGCAGAATTATAAGTGGACATGACATAAAACGAGCGTACTTCTTGGGTGTCCAAATCGACTAGGAGGACGTCTTTGGGGAGTTGTAGGGAGGGGCGGGAGTCCCGAAAGTTTCGTGGTATGCCTATAATGTATGGCGAGGGGGCCTGTAGGAGCTGAAAAAATCATGGATGCAGCATAGAAAAGACGAAAATCACACTAATTCTAGCAAAATTAATTCGGCCACTGAAATTATGACACTTGATAAGAGAGGTAATAGAAAAAAAGGGTGAAATTATGGGCTGCAGCTGCAGAACCCTCGAGCGAATTGTACTATGGCGACTTTCATACGCTCCCACGTTGACATCGTTCAGCAACCAGATGGAACTCGGTATGCTAGCATGAACTGGAGCGCCTGATCGGCAGGTATGTACTACACTTGTAAACTATAATTCAGACATATCCTTCAAAATGAACAAATGTTGCGAAGAAGTTAAACTATTACACACCAAAATGAACTTGAAACCCAACTCTTTATTCGAAGACTAATTTAGCCAGAATGCAGTTTGAAACTCAGTTTTTGATTCCAGAGTCCCCGTGACTTGGGGACACAGAGTTCGAAAGGACTTAATCGACTGCGGACAACAAAATAGGGGCTCGTCATTTACACCAGCAAGACTGCAAATCAGTGAGAAGGACTTCGTTCTGGTTGGCATGCCTACACCAGCACCAACCAGTAGTTGCAACACCAAAGTCGTGCAAACATATTCATTGAACAGTTGGAAAAGTGGCATATTAATCGCCGTCAATTCACAACAATTTCGATTTCTACTTGAATATCTCGAGTCCGTGGTGCATTGAGGGCGATCCCAAGACGTTTATGAAAATTGTAATGAGTGGCGATTGGGTACCATTTGCCACCATCGTGACCTAAATAAAAGGAACTAAATCTACGGATGGAGAAATCCTAGGAGTTAGCTGACCAAGAGCATACAATTGTGCGTGTGGATATGGTAACGGGAAAATACCGAAAATAGGCTTAAGGAAATAGCCCCTGATTGGATTGAAGTTAAGGGAAGCGTACATGGCGACAAGCTTTCTGCATAGGAATCCAATGTGACTTTACCAACTGACCAGGTACTAGGTTTGAAGCTGATTCAACTTCCAACCTCAGGCTTGTAAGCAAATTCGGGACCCGAAAATTCTGAGAAATCGTTGGGACAATGAAAGGAAGCATTACGTCAAAATAAGCGATCCCCGGAAGTAAAGTTCTACCGCCTAGCAAGTGGATTTAAGTTTAAGAGCTCAATGCTCCAACACAATGCTCCGGTTGCTTTTGATGTTCGAGCGGCTGTTTCAACGGCCAGTGTAAGTTTCACGGAAGTTATCATTCCTCGTGAATTATTCAAATTACACAATGCGAGGCAATGCAGAAGTTACTTGATCTTACAACGCCTGCAGCTATTATGACAGTAAGTACAAACTTTGATATTTGAAGGGACGCCTTTGGGCAATCATGGTTTCTCAGACTATCGAAGTGTGCGTCAATCTAGCCGATTCAAAATTAGGTTAAGCTCCACAGAAAACGATAAATTCATTAGCAAAATTTGAACAAAATATCAACAGCATCGACTGTAGGTGAGGTGAGGACAACCCAATTGATTAGATCCTCTGAATTTACAGCAGAACGCCCGCATCTTAGGCTGTACACAGAACGCTGTCTTTGTGTAAATTCTACCAATGCGAAGGATTATCCAAAGTTTCCATCAGCAACCAATTAATGTGAATAAAAGGAAGTGGGATCGTGGCCAAAGTAATGGTACATTTGAAGTCAAAGTGACAACAAAACCATATGTGCCTTTCAAATTAAAGACACGCATAGACTGAAAACTGTAATGAGGATAAATATACTGTTAATGCCAAAAAAGGTCTCATTTCGTTCACGAATTTCCTGCAATCACGACTAATAATCACTAGCAGAGCAGTAAGATCTTTCACAAACCTGTTCAGCGCCTTTTAGAGAAGAGGGCAAGAGAGGAATGACGGTGAAAAGGTACTGAAGAGGATAACAGAGGGCGGTGAAAGACATCACACAGGTAGTCAGCCGTTCGTGGTGGGATGATTCCAAAACGATCTGCAATTAATAGAGTTAAGATTCCTAATCACAGCTAAATCAATGGCGTGGCAAATGTTACTTTGTACTGACATTAAATGAACCCCAAAGCAACAGCTGTCGATTTACGAGAACCAGGAATGACCAAAGGCCTTTATCCCCTCCGACAAGTGAGAATCACAAATTTCTTAAATGTGACTCTACCAACAAGCCAGCCACACTTAAAACTACTTCCAAACACACGGTTCTCAATGTTTAAAATGGTCAAGGAAAAGCACAGTTTGTGGGTTTCCAAAAGCATAATCATCGAGCAAGACTGGTTGAACTCAAAATTAAAACTTTTGGATAATTCTGTTTGGGACAATAAATGCGGTGTGTGAATCAACAGCATCATTTCTACTTGTGCTAGGGAATTAATACAACATAACTATTTTAGTTTGGGGCACTAAATTAATAGTGTTGACGGATGGACAATAACAGCTGGTGGCGCAAAAATTTTGCTGGAGTACGGAATATTTGCGAAAGTTGTAATACACAATATACAACACCAATTTATTACTGGAAAATCCATTATTACCACTAATAAAAATGGAAATAGTAAAAACACCTTTAAGGAGAAGTGAGAACCTTCAAAATCCCTGGCCCGAACTCCACGTTAAAGTAAAACACGGATCGACGAGGTTTCACGGTGTTATGCTGGTTGCGGCACCAATATTACACTTGCTTTCAGTTTTCGAACAGCATGCTGTTATGCAGCATCATGGAGGAAAGGACCACTTTATGGAACACTAACGCTAAACCCTGAGACCACTTATCAGAATTGCGTCGTGCACACCTCGATTGTGATCGATGACCCTTCTGGCAACAAAAGGCACAACAAAATGTCAACATCATACATATGTTTTTCTCACAAAACTGCAGTATGCACGTTTGAATGGATGCACGCACTAGAATGAGATCGAGGACTGACTTATAGTTTCAGGTCTGTAATTAGTCCAAACCGATGGGTAAAGTCGTCATGAAAGGAGTGAAACGTCGAGTAATAACACACCTTATGTCATTCGATGACTTCAAAATAAATTCGCCTCACCTACGCAAGTTTTTATTCTATGTAAAGTATACAGTGAAGGAATAGTCGTTCGTGCTCATAGCGTATTCATTAAATTTCTCAGGATCGAAGATGTATATTACAGCTTTTGAATCCTTGAGCAAGGAGTTGAACGTTTGAGAATTCCCACACACGTTTCTGTTGGAGCGCGGGATCGGGTTGGGCTGCCGATAGCCAGGAAGACTACTGGACGCATGTTTTTGAAAAAAGTGTCCATATGAGGAAACCTAGGCTCGAGGCTGTCAATAAGGATTCTTGTCTAATAAGGAGAGGACAGGGATTTGGAGTGTGGGAAGCTACGATCGCCGACGTCTGGCCACACTGATTGAAATGTCGAAGTGAAGAACTGTTCGGAGGACCATTTCGACCGCTGAACAACCTAGGTCCTACTTTAAGGCTGACTGATTTCCGAATAAGAGAGGTACGACTTCCGTACAGCAAGCTGAACCAATGAAGTCGTTACAACAGCCTCTAGTTGACGCTGAGGACGTTGTATCATGTCAATCGACTGAAAATGATAGGCTATTATTCTAATGCGACTTGAGTCAAGAAGTTGGATGGAGACGTCTCACATTGTTAAAAGACTCGATGTACGAACAGAAGAGCGTATCTGAATTGACATTGTCTTCAACTTTGACGTGAAGGATGCAAGATGCAGTCCAAGTGTCGTAATCCCTTCAGTTAGAACCTTTCGGAGCTTAAACGATTGGTATAAGTCGGCGGTTTGTGGTTGGTGTTCAGGGAAAATTTAAATGGACAGGAATATATAGCCGAAGGTAGTGTAAGGGAACTCGGCTCTCGAACTCTGATGAGACATATGTGAATGGGTCTTGCAGTTCTGTTGACGATCCGTTGAAAAACTGCACTGGCAGCTTGAAAGAAAGCTCCAGCTAGTTGAGGCAGAGAGGGATCTGACCGTTGGTAAACTAATGTGGCAACATCCGCCAGGGATGTTGTTTATTGAACTGAAAGCTTCCAATTCTTCGTGCATCACGCTTAGGTTTGTATTGCTAATTTTCAAATGGTTTGTCAGAGAAGGGGGTTCCTGTCATGTCCAAAAACATGACTGAGTTAATTGATCGACCTGCGATGTATCCTACGAAGTCAAATTCTGAAGCGCCAAAAATATATTTTGACAGCTTGATTACTAGGCCACACCCAATTAGGCGTCGATAAACGATGTCAAGATTCTTTTCTTGATCCACGCTAGCTGTGAGAACTCCACCGATGCCTGAGAACGCAAAATCCAGTCAAGCAAACACGTGATTAATAACACGACGTTTGGGGAAAGTCGGATAGATTGCTGTTCTTTCGTGTACCAGATTAGCCTCAGGAATCTGAGAGTTCGCCTGCACCAAATTCATCTTGGAAAACACTGAATTGTCGCGTAGTTTGGACGAAAAACCATGAAGATTTGGTATAAGACAGCAATCAGGCATGGTAAGTGCAATTAAAGCACGTCAACCGCTACACGGACGCCATCCATTCGTTTTGGCAACCACATAGGTAGGTAATGACCAAATAGTGGTTAAAAGACAAATTCCCAAACTCCTGGAATGCGTTGAAATTCGCCTTTGGAGAAAGTCGACGTACTTGCAAGTGAACGCGAGTCGAACTCCGGTCTGGTGATGGGTTGGGTCGACTACGTCAGGGTATTTTGCAGAAATTTCAAGTAGGGGAGGGTGTCGATTTGCAGGGTAGTGACTTGGGTAACCTTAGAAGTTTTCTGACTGAAAAATGGTGCTGTGAGGCTAGTTGGAGTGTTGATCAAGGTAGACAAGACGTTTGAATTAGTTAAAAAAATTAACAGGAGTCGCTACGGCGATCGCAGAAATGCAACGATACTTACGTTATAATCCGATATCAAAGACTAGTGACCCCTGTAATGCGTTGAAATGTTTAAACTGTTTGCTATTAAGAAAGCGCAGGAACTTGACGACAGTTTTTCAGTGGGCGCTGGCAGGGCAACTGAGAAGTCGGCGCCCCAATTGATTATGAATCGCAAGGCGGTCGACGCGTCACAATGCAACGGGCGGTGACTTGAGTTTGCGCTTCTACTGATGAGCGTCGTTGTTTCTCAGATATTTTGCGCTAGGGCAAATTAGCGCAAGTGCAAATAAGGGTTCAAGCAGATATGCCTCAACTCTTGAGGTTAGCTAATATCGGAATAATTCATGAAAAGGACAGGCGACGTGACGATAGGTGTGTTCGGGCAGACAAATGATGCTCCTTCCCACATTGCGAGTGGCCTAATGTCGATGTGTCTAGTACCGAAGACAATTTAGCCAAGCTGAGTTCTGTGGCCACCATCCAACTGGCTGAATTCATTTACACTCCAGGTGGACTTCAGTTGCTGATCGAGGCCTTACATAACTTTGGAAATGCAAGCTGATTTGAGTGTTTCTCAGGCGAAATACGTTTTAGCTACCAATTAGGTTTAGATAAAAAAGATGTTTATATTAGGATCGCCAATTGATTTCGCCAAGAGGTGACACAAAGTACCCAGAGAATGAAGACGAAAACGAGAGGCGACAGACACTCGACCATTAGTGGAGTGTTGTTCGTGGTTGATACGCAGGTAAAATCGCAGGCGCACAAATGCGTGGGGAATGAGATGGAGTTAACACAGTTGACAATAACGAGGACCAATGCAAAGAGATGGAAATCGAGTTACTAGGTGAATGTGTGCCAGTAATAACCCTCACACAGCCCAACAGTAACCCTTGTGGACGCGAATTCACAATTCTCGCTACATCTTAAGCGTGATTTGAGTGAGTCTCTACTGAGGTGTGTAATTACTTATTACAAAATACCTGAAAATTTCCGTGAAGTGCGTATCATCCAGTAAGTACGACCAATAATAGTAGCGTGAAAGAGTAGCATTCATCGTAAACTCGATAACGCGTCTTAGCATTTTTCGAGGCAAGGGTAACGACCTTTACCAATGTGCGATTGCACGCTTAAGTTGCTATTATCATTTGGATTTGAAGATGAGGTATCGACGGTTATTCGACAGTTATCTATGGCTCACATGTCGTTTCCCAAATTTTAGCGTAATAGAAATATGACTTAGTGATTTCCACAGCGAAAATTGCATAATCACACAATTTAAGCGTGTGCGGTTTTGAATTTCACTAAGACTAGTTTTGCCGGTAAAATATCGCTGACCAATAGTAGCAGAAAATTTAACAAAACATATGTTATCTTATTTTAATTGGATTTACGAGTCATAGTTCCATGTCCATAAGCAAGAAAACTATAAGTTTACTCAAAAGCTATTTCTTCGAAGTAAACGCAATTGAGATTTAGAGGAAATTTGACTTGTTAACCACCGATTCATTTAGGAAGAAAATAAAACGAAACCTGAGTTAGACAAAGCCCTGATGATATCTGCGGGTTATTAGGTGTTACCGATTTGACAATTGGGAATATAACTTTAAAAATGCGTCAATTTTAATAACATTGTGTGCCTTAATCAATGTGAGCACATAAGACTAGTAATCTTATAAAAGATATCAATTATCCAAAAATAGAATTCATACAAATTGCTAAGTGAAAAGACATCAGGCTTATTCCAAATTTCACTTTAAACTCACCTTTTGTTCAAGCAGAAGTGAGAAAAAGACCTTTATAAACTTTTCGATGCCCAACAAGCTCAGTGGCAAATGGAGGGGATAATCCACTAACGAAAACCTATGCTTGTCAGGAAGTGCAAAAATTATTGGTTTGGCGAGGTCAGGCGGCTGTAGATAAGCCTAAAATGCAATGTGTATGTAATTATATCTGGAAATGAACAGTAATCCAAATAAAAACTAGTCTGAATCTTGACTGATAACAGGCCTAAATCATGTTAGCTGGACGAATGATTTAGAGATCCAACCAAAATCCCGAAAAAACCACATAATAACTCACGTGGATAGCTGTCCTACCGAATACGGGGGCTGGTATACTTAAAAGCCGAAGGATCCACGTATCAATTTCCTCAACGCTCTTCCTTACAGCCGGTATTTCAGCTGACTCGATTGCTCCCGTAAGTACTGACCAGACTGTTTGTCTAATAAATCGACCAAAAAAGTTGAATTAATCCGCTGAACGTATTACGCCACATACACTCAAAATTCCCATTACAATACGAGATTTTCAAAAAAACGCACATTCTCTTTTACCTGCCAGAATAACGAGGTTTGCAGCCTTCGTGTAGCTTTTGTATAAGAGTATACAGGAACTGTAGACATCTCTGAAACTTTTTGCAGAACTGATAACGAGAAACCAAACAAATGGACGTAAGAGTGTGGGTGTATGGTCGCTCAGGACGATCAAGATGATGACATCCACCTTGGAGCGAGTCATCTGATGAGCTTGAATCCGAAAGGTTGTCGCAGCTGCGTATTCGGTTATTTTCGATTTTCAAGATCGGTTGTTGTAATTTACTCTTGAAGGAAGCAATACGGCGACGAGTAACTTCGGCAATATAATTAGATTTCCGGCGTCCTATTGGACGAAGGAAATTTAAGCAAACACCAAAGCGTGCAGTGTTAGACTCCTTATCAGTTAGCATGAAAGTGAAACACTCCATCTTGATATTCTGAGGCGAACGTCCTTCGGAATGACGAGGGTCGGTAACAAAAGATGTTGAGGACGTATTATAGCAACCTTCTGGTTGACAGAAAAAAATAACGTCACTTGGGAGTGCAAAGTCATCGTGATTCTGTGGAGGATAGACTCTCAATAATTCGGGCTGGGAAACAGGTTGTCCGTGTCGGCTGGGATGCCTTTTACCAACGAATACGACATAGTCTATTAACCTTGGTGAAGGTTTCTTAACACTGACAAAGGATAATGCCATGAATGCGCAGCGGCTTGAGGAAAACTTAATCCATAAAAAGTAGACAAAACGCAAACGCTTGCTCAATCAAAATACACATAGATTAGAGGCGACCTTGAAAGACTCAGTCACAAATATTTAAAGAGCTGGTAATTTAACAGCACCGTATAAATTTTTTCCATAATAGGAAACGGATAGGAGGCAGCTAAAAATACTTTTACAATCTTACGAACGTTTAAAAGAGTGCCAATTTTTCATTAGGACTTCGATTTTAATTAAGTGAAGCAAACTCCCATGTTCAATTTTTCTATCATATTTTTTTCACCTCAACACCTTTGCGTAATCAATCGTAACATTTATGTACTAAGTTTGGGATTTTGTATCATCTGCTTTTATTGATGACTGGCTGAATGAGGCCTACTAACACAATTTTGTAACCACTACCTAGTTGACCGATTCAGTTACTGACCCCCGTGTATTAATTCTGGCCTGGTAAACGTGAGACGCACTGTTGTTTGCTTATAAGTCAGTCAATTCTTGCGTCTCCTTTAGCTTGTCTCCTTTGTTCAATAGTTAATATGAAACTTTTAACAGATATTGCTGTGAAGTAATACTGCTGGTTTTTTATCACCCTGTTAAAATATATAAGAGCCATCTTTTTTATCAACTAATTGTTTATGCCGCAAACAGTTTGCTTTTAACTGTACATATCATGCTAGGAAAAGTTTACTTACATTCTAAGAGGTAAATTCATTTTATCAAATCTGTGCACATTTTATCATTCAGAAGTTACTTCTCAGTCACTTCTAGCAATAGCATTTTGTTGAAATATAACTAGTAGACGATAAAACTGATGTTATTGACTTACCAGTAGGAATATTTTTGGGGGCCATTATAATATTCTGCAGACCGTTGTTCGCACACGAACGGCAAGCTTGAACAGGGTCCGCCTACAATAATGCTTCCAGGTATCAGTCAAAGTGGTAGTTCATTAGTCTAACTATCTTGGTTTCTCAGACTCCAGTTTCGTAATAATAAACTTGACGCATCAATTCCATGTTACATTTGAGCTAAATACCACCTAAAATAATGGTTCATATTGCTCACCACTAGCAGATAAGCTTTCAGAAAAGGCTGTTGTGGGCCCCAGCATGTGGTCTTGAACCACGCCCGGGCCACGGAATTAACCCTGGCCCGATTACGCTTGCCTGATACCCGCGATGAAGAAAAAAAACCCGGAGAGGACGGATGCAACCGTTTACTTCAGAGCTCAACCTAAACTGGTGTCGTTGTGTTGTGTGTGGGGTTTGCGCGTGTGTATCTATACTTCGGGTGCGTGAGCCACACATGCGCTAACATCGAGACCTAGGAGAGGGGACACTCCAAACTGAATATCCGTGCTAATAAGGGGGGAGTTAAGGATTCGCGCGGCTGGCGACATGCTGCGAAAAGAGGAACAATGTGTAGGAGGTGGAGCGACCGGATTAAAGGATTGAATAAACACTATTCACGACAAGACTGATACAACTCAGATGCTTCTATCAAATCATTTTCAATGGTGTTATAGTAATCACAAATATTTCAAGCATTAGTGAGCTGCGAATGCAGCCGAATTCTCTTCGTGAATGGACAATATTGTTTGTGAACGGTCGCAATTTGGTCAAAATTCTTTCTCCCTTCTTTGCTAATTTGCGCAAACCAGGAACTATATTGTTTTATGTTATTAGTCTTGGCTCTGGTGATAATGCTCCTGAACGTAAGTATTCGTGCATTCACCTTCACAGCTTTGCGCCGTCCATTTTGCCTCCATTTAACGCGAAAGCATCTTTTGCGTCACTGATGATGTTAATGGGTTTTAATTATTGCATAACACCAAGCGTGATGCTTTAATGACCTGAGGCATTTTGTGGACAACTTTATGCCGCAACCCTAATTTAAAATCAACTGAGGGCGCATTCAGGAATGGTGTTAGGTGACTATTCTTTTAGTCAAAAATAATCTCGTGATTATCCATGAAACCGTCCAAAAGGCCTTAAAAAATTTTGTTTCAATATGTTTGCATTATGAAATATTTCACCTACTTTGTATGAAGGGTTCCTAAGCAAATTCATGCTACTCTCAACCTTAATTCCCTTAACTGCTTTGAATTTCAACGTGCAGTATGTTGTGAAAGCCTGACGCTGATTTATTTATGCGATTAGATAAATTAAATTGCTGTGTCGCTTCAAAACAGCTTTCCCCGAGTTCGTGAGAAAGCAGTGTACTACTCACAAAACACTTGCTTTCTAAAATAACAAGAATTATTTTAAATACAGTAAAAACGGTAATGACTGCTTAAGAGTAATCAACATCTCCAAGACTAAAAATGCGCGTTTAGCAAACCACGATCTTAAAAAACGAAGAACCATTCAGTTGTGCCAAGGTGACAACCATGTGTTCCTAGCCAAAGGTACTATTCCCCACTGCCTTTGATTCTGGCTCCTTCATAGACAATCGCGTGTGCTTCGGCAACGATTATTCCGCTTTAAAAGCGTAATAATATTATCGTGTAGGTCCGTCAGGTGTATTCTGTGAAATATATGGTTTTAAATATTTACGATACTATTTCAAATGTCTGTCGTATTTCAAACATCCAACCTGATGACCTTGGCTATAATCCAAACAGAATTAAATTTTTGTTTAACAGTTTAAAATATTAGTTTACCCTAGATCCCGTTTTGAACGCACATCTTGTTCATCTCCCATTGCTAAGATGATAGAGTATTAGGTTATGGCTTAATCTGCGCAAATTTGTAAGCGAATTCACTTCATATAAACAACAGGGAACAATGAAGTTAATCTCGGAAATATTGCCAATCTTCTTCTATGATCTTGTGCACCAAAAGAGGCGAGAAAGTCATCCACAAATTTACACACATCATCCAGCGCTTTAAACTGGTTATCCACTAAAGCGTGCTGCTACATTGACCGCAGCAACTGGTGGTCGAATGGGGCCAAGTTTGGTGAATGTGTCGCGTGTGCGAGAACTTCCAGTCTCAAATTCAAGAGGATCTCCTGAGTCGCTAAGCGGGCAACGTGAGTTCGAGCGTCGTTACGCAGCAGTATGATCTGCCTGCTTCATTGCCAAGTAAATTGCCTTTTCTCATAAAGGTCTTAGCCCTATTTGTTCAATTGTCCGATGTAGCGTCCATCAGTCACCGTCTGATGATCAGGTTCCAGATGTTCGTAATAAAGTACGCCAACCATGTCCCCCAACAGATACACTGGAGAACCCTCTCCAAGTGGATATCTGGTTTTGGCGTCGATGTATTGGGTTGCGCGGGATCTACCCACGACGTTTCACGTTTGGAATTCCTGTTAAGAATGTACTTTTCATTGCCTATCACACTCCTTCACAATGAGTCCTTTTTTGTTGCCGACAGGCAAACAGTGAAAGGTGTATGTACATGCGTTGACTGAGGTTGTGTTTGGCCATCACATGTGATGTGACTCAACTTCCAAGTTTTTGAAGCTTTCTCACTTGATCCAAACGCTCGGCAATAGCTCTTTGGATGATGCCTAACTGGCCTACGAATGGTGAGAGCCAACCCAAGAATTTGCTCGCTTTCTTCTCAAGCGTGAAATGCAATGGCATGTACATTAATAAAATTACGATTGTATCGTAGACGCATTTATCAGCAATGGTTAGACACTTTAATCTGTTATTCTTTCATTCAGTCCCCGTTTGCTCTAATTAAGTTTGATTGTTGAAACACAGGCATTTATTCTCGCCCGAATCGGTCATGGACGACCTAATCAGTGATTTCACAATTATTTAAGATTTTTAAATTTGTATACACCATTTGACAAACTTTAGCTCGGCTACCTAATAAGGTGGAGTAATGGCATCGAATAATTTGAGATAAGCAGGAAAACTCAAGAAACGCTGACGACCTGTAAATATTTAGAGATCTGCGTCGCTTACAGTTTTCTACAGTTGGCAACTTTTGGTACTGTCGGTTATTTTTAGCTTTCTATTTATATTTTACCGCCTTGATCTCACAGTTACTCGTGGCGTTTCAAAGGTTTATTTGTTTCTCCCATGCTTTATCTGGTAAGCCAATTGTCTGCGTGTTACGCAAAGCACCCTCAAAAAGTGGTTATCCAAGCTGTGTGGGATGGGTTGGTGGCAGATTTCTACCAGGCTTCTGAATGGCTTAATAAGATGCTTCGAATTTGTTTTTTAGTCGGATAATCGGGAAATTAGATAAAAAGCCGGGGACAATATACACACTGCTGCAATTCGAAGTTTGTAGAAAATGATCTGATTTCTTTGTGACAAGTTTTGATCGAGCATAACCGTGTCAGCGGAATGTTTTAATCTGTTATGGGCACCAACGTGTGGTCTTGAACCACGCCGGGGCCAATGAGTTGGATCTTGGTTTGATTACGTTACCCTGTTACCTGCGATGAAGAAGAAGATCAGATAAGACTTGGACACAACCGTTTTCTTCAGAGCTCAACCAAGTTCTTGTCGCTGTGTCTTGTTTGGGGTTTGCGCTTGTGTGTTTATACCTCAGATGCGTGAGTCATGGATGAGCTAACATCGAGACCTAGGTGTGAGGACATGTTACTATAATCTTTCGAGCTAATGAGGGGGCTAGTTGAGGATCCGCGCGGCTGGCGACATGCTGAGAAAAGGGAGACCCTGTGGCGGAGGCTGAGGTGATCAGATTAGCGAGTATGAACCGGTGCGATTCGCAACAAAACTAACATTCATTGGACTTGACCTTTGGCTTTCTTCATAGACTCCAGATTTTTCCATTTTTTACTGTGGTGGTTCATCGTCACCAGGGCACGCCTAATGGAGCCCAATATTTGAATAAGCGCACAGTGTTCACGGAGAATGGTGATTTGTAAGGGAACACTAGGATAGTTTTTAGAAGTGCATAAATCAGCTGTTCATGATTTCGGAATTTCGTCGATGATGACAGTGCTTATTATAACATACCAAGCCTACTCTTAGACAAAATGCTTGGGTTTACTGTCTACGGAGTAGGTTGCTTAGATCCTCTAAAGCCGTAAATATTATCGCGTTTTGCAATAACAGGCAAACTCGCCAGATTGGAAGAATAACAAAGACACTTCGGAACACACGATGGTGTGTACGACCTACTTTTTATTATCCAGTCCCAAGGGCATTCAACGCGAGCCCCACTGGTCCAGTGAGCAAATTGTGAGCTGCTCTTAGTAAGAATCAGAATTAAAACAGCGATTATATCAAAACAAACACGGTAAACACCAGAACTACAAAGCGGTTGAGTACGTTGTTTACGTGGAGGGAGCCAGGATACTACATTAAGACTGACATCTCTGTTCTCTAACGCGCGAATCTACAATTTCGGATATGGAAAGCTTAGGCTGGTATTTACTGGCATCCTCAAAACTCAGAATTTCTCCGCGGCACAGCAATCAGTAGGAAGGCTGACGTGGTCGTGCCTGCATAAATGTCAGACCGACCTTTGCGAGTGCGCACACAATTAGGATGGGTGGCACGTGCTGGAACACCTGCAGCCGACGTGGCATACGGTTACTAGGCTCCACACCCCTCCATCCTGTCCCCCGTCCCTATTCCGAAAGGCTAATTCACTGTTTTCACCAGCGAAACAGATTGCTACTGTCTGTATTACCCAGAGACTCGGTTGCTAGGGCTTAAATGTGGGGGAGAGGGCACAGGACAATCACTCCACTCTGCAATTCACCACCTAATGACTCGGTTCAACATTATTGCTAAGCTGTTTCTGCACGATTTTCAATCTAATGACTCTCTTTTTGGTACCTTAATTAGTGTACTAGGATGTCCCACAAACTGACTAATTGATGGACTAGCTGAAAGTCGAAAAAGCATTTTCTTGCAGGTAATTATCGAAAAATACCTCAGGGAATTTTGCAAGAAGGCACATTTCTTCGAAGTCTTTTAGCCGCAGAGGCGTGAATCAAGACTAGAATAACCAGATTACATCATGAATTGTGGCTACCTGAATTTACTTTCGGGCATGGTTATGTATAACCGATGATACAGGCCGCATCACCCTCGAGATTAGTGGATGTCGGTCCGAGGAGTCCAGTCCTGGAGACTCTCTGCTACATCAGGCCCCCACCGACATCAATGTGCAAAGGCAGAATTTTGCTGATTTTGATGGAACTCGGCGAAATCCCAAGCATTCGTTTCAGCATTTTAACTCATAAACTTTTATGTAAAAAGCTATTGAACTTCATGATGATTGAAATGTGTTGAGATTTTTATTTCGTTGTGATGATCAGAGGTCGTGCTTTTCAAGTTTTCAGTAAAGTTTGCGAATTTATCAGTTGGGAAACTGTTCCAATTTCGATCACTTGATTTCATCAAATTACTTACATGTCGACATCTTTTTACTTATGCTCTACGCTATTGCTCGTCAAATACATATCACATTTGTAGATAAATCCTAAAGCAATACCCAAGTATTTTGGTTTCTTAAACCCTTGCACCTGCTATCACCTATCTTCTTTCGAGTCCTTATGGACGGCAATGAAGAACAGAGAGATTTTCGTGGTGGAAGCACATTGTAGTGCTGTTAATGGGCCCTCTTATGGTAGACCTAAAAAGGCCTTGACTTGGGACACGTAACCTAAGTGTTCCAGTGTCTGCAATGTTGCGCTAAATCGGGGACATTGAAAAGGGGACAGGGATGGGAGTGTAATAAGAAGTGAAGTAGTCGGAAAGAAAGTGATTCTTATAATGAGGAAGATTGTGCAAGTTTTAAATTTGCTTGTGGTCCTTCCAGGCCTCATTCCTCTGGGTTGTCCTCGTTACGCGCGTGTTTGTTAAAAGCTACCAATCCGAACACTGCCCTCATCCGATTGGCTAAGATGTGTCAAAAGGTTACAGAGGCGCCGAACTGCGGCTTGCGTACACTGGGTAGTTGCTGTAGTGACCAGACCTCTGAATTTACGCACGCACCTGAGGCCATAGCAATGACGATAAGCGATAGACGGCACGCGAAACGCGAACAAAAATATTATCATAGCGTCCGCCGGCACCGCAAAAGTGTGGCGAAGCCAAACCATCAGGATGAAGTCAGACAACTGGTGCACATCATTCCTGGATTAAACAATCGTCCGGATGTGGATGAGGTAGGTTTTCTCTCGAGTTTTTTTAAAGCGTACTGTATCCTTGATAATACAAAATCCTAATTATCTGGTGTGTTAACACGCTTGAATTATGCACTTTGGAGGAAATCCTCCATTTGCAAAGCAACTTTCGGATCCGATAATGGCTAGTCTTAAGCCTGCAAAAGCCAATTCAGGGCGCATATTAAACAGTTCAGGCACTTTGCATTTCGTAATGACCTCCTCGTTATCACTTCGAGTGTAGGTCAAATGGGCGAAATGAGAGGAATGGGAGCTCTTGTTAACAGTAGGAGCCTCCGGTGCTTCGAAATACTTATTATAACAGTTGGTTTTTTTTACGGAAACTGAATGAAAAAAACTGATATATGCAACTACTTTGGTGCCAGATGACATAAACATTTTATCTATTTTTGCACTCAGATTTAATTTGAATCAAATGGAAATGTTCGTAATGGAGTTTTGGAATTTTCTTTATACTTCTGTCTGAGCGGGTCCTGTACAAATTGGATCGGAAATGTCTGATTTGGTTGCTGTACTTCAACATTGAGTGAAGCTGTACTTGGTTCTTGGTTCAGCTAAATCTTTTTATGTCTGTTCATTCTAACGAAAGTATGGATTTTGGTACAAAGCACTAAACGATTTTTCGTTACTAGTTTGAGTCCCATTGGGAAATTCTACCACCCAGTATTCGTCTTCAATTTCTAGGAGTTAATGAGGTTTTCAGGTTATCGGCAAAATTTCGACAATAACGTCGTTGTTGATGGCTAGTATCCTTACATTTCTTTTAAAAAGTTAGCTAATTACCGCAAGTCGACCCCATTCGTTAAAATTGACCTGTAAGTCTGATTGGTTAAACTTTAACTCTTCTAGTCACGTTAGGCACGTGAAGATATTTTGACAAGGAGATCGCTACAAGCATGGTTATCGCAGGTGGCGTCATAACGAAAAACACACTTCTTGGCCAGTTTGAATGTTAAAATCGAAGGAGAACTGAACAGTTTAATTTATCTGCCTGAAAATTCCTTCTTTAGGTCACAGTTATCGACGAAACAATCAAGTTCATCACCCAGCTTGAAAATGCATTGATTCGAAAGCATTGTCCTAACGACAATGGTGATGTCACCTTCGGTAAGTTGCTCGCACATCAAAAGGGCTCTCTTAACTTGATTCAAGCACCTGCCTCTTCTACTGCGACCAGGCAGTCACCTGGACTTGCTTAATTTTACTCCAGATGTTGGTTGCTATGCTTCCAGGGTCATACTTTGTAATGCCTGGTTAGGGCTATAGGGCGAATGGCTTGGTGAGTAATCACAAATAGGGGTACTACACATGTTATAATGCATTATACGTGCCTGATATTAAATTTGTGTATTTTGAGAAAAATGTTACATTCTTTTCCTTCATTTCATTTCGGCTATTTTAACACAAAGTAATACCTGCCTGTCCTGTCAATAATCTACGCATTAATGCACTGGGGCACTTCTAAACTCTATGACTAATCGTCGTTTAAGGTAATACTGAACTCCAAAAAGAAAATTCGAAGGATATTAGCCGATTAAGGAAATCCATCCATTCCAGATAAATAGCCCATTAATATTTTGCCTGTTTTAGATCGTTCCAGGCCTCAGATGCATCCTCTTCTGCGTAAACTGCTTCCCAGAAATTCACCAAGGACTCCTCGACATTTAACCCAAGCAGGAATTCCCGATACAGCGAATGACACTACCGATGCTTCCTCCTGTATGACACCGGATTATCAGGGGTGACGGCGAAACGTGGCTGCATCAGCTTTTTACTGCGTCTTTCTGGTCACACTGTGTAGCATTAATGCAACGAAACTAAGTACGAATAGAATGTGTAAAGTGATTTGTACTTTGTCCGCCACTCTTATTCATTTCATATAACCTGTTGAATTGCTTTTTGTTCGACAATTACAAGCCGACAAGAGTATGTTGCGTTTGGTTTCTAACACGGAAAGTCACTGAGGTTTATAGCATGTCTGACTGAAAATGGATTTATGGAGAGTCTACCAAATGGATTCTTAAGATATTAAAAAACATTGTCAAGTAGCCATGTTTTCAGCCTAAACTAATCCAGTGTGATACAGGAGCCAAAACTATTAGTAAGGTTTGATTGTGATAGGTTGATTCATGACTGACACACCGTTTCAATCGATGAGTCTTTTCGTAATAGGAGTGCCATCTGGAGCTCTCTGACCAGAGGTCGGACCCGTAAAAGTCGCTAAGGCTGCTTGTCCGATTTCGGTGCGCCTATGAGCGAGGAAGTCTCCAACGCCCACTGCTATAGAAGAGTATGAAGAAGCCTCTAGTGCGTCCCCTGCTAAAAACAGATTTATTCATCATTTGCAAAAATTAAGCCACATTTAAGTGGTTCATTGGTCATAAATCCGTGCCTTTTGCCTGATGTTGTCTGAAACAGGCTGTGGCATATTGTCCGAAATTCACGAACACAAGGCACAAACCAAACGCCAAACTAATTTGGCTTCTTAACTTTGAAGTTCAAGCACCAATTACAAAAAACAAAAATGCTAGGTACAAGATGCGATAAATCTAATTGAATTCCTAAGAAAAAAAATTAAGAGTTGTTTACTTTTCAGTTTTCGTATTTTGTTTAGCCAGTTTCCTTGAGTTTTGATAGTGTGATTGTATGAGAAAATCGTTTAATCTAAGCAAACATAAAGGAATTCCTGATTTACTTTGAGCCCAATCAAATTTATTGCATTCCACCCCTCTCTAGGTAGAAAACGACGAAACTTTTAAGGTAAATAGCAAGCCAATGGAACTTTTACACGACTTTGATTCATAAACTTCTTACATACACGCGATCTGGTATATTTTCAACCTAGATACTACGTTCTTGCCTCTTTGGCTCTGTGCTTGCGTGATAGGGCATTGTTTTCATCAGATTGGTATCACGCTGCAGTTAGGGGAATACACTCATTTAGTAACGCGCCTTTCTCAGTGTTTGCTTGTTAGGTCACTTATTCAGTTCTACAACTGGAAACGGTTACTACTATCACGGTTTACGACATGTCGAAATGTGACGTACGAATTATTCGGGGTCGTTATTCGTCAATGGAAATGCTGTACAATAAGGTTCATATGCGGTAACTTAATAGTTAAAAGTATTAAGAACAATACTTTTTGGGAGTCTTCTATTAATGTCGGGACGGAAGTAAACGAACAGATGCAATGGTGCATGTTTATTTTGAAAGCCTTTCAAAGCATCACTGATCTTCTGGGTGTTACTTAAGTATAAAACTAGACTAACTGTCGCCTCTTCGTACACCGTTCGTTTAATTAACCCTTTTAAATAGATATCCCCCAGTCTGCGCATGGTTTGGGGGCGTGAAGGAGTGGGGACCAGGTGGGGGAACCGGTAGAAGAGGAAGGATATATTAATTCATAGGTGTCGCACAACTTCTTAGTTCTCCCCTTCCTACACTGCAGGCGGTGTTTTACACATCAGTCCCTCTTGATGGGGACTCGCATGTGTGTGCCGGACAAAACACGCAGCTGTTTACTTCTCTCCAGAGGGGTCGGGAAGAGGTGCTGCATGAAAAAATAATATCGCGATCCAATAAATGGCACAAAAAATAACACGTAAGTTTTTTTTAGGATAAAAACAATGTTTTGTGCAGGCGGCAGGGTTGTTTGAAAGGGATGTGACCAAGAGCCCAGTGAAAGGCGACAGTGGCGGTGATTGTCAGACAGTGGCGATGATTTCTTCGACAGGTGCAACAATTAGCACTGGTGTTTGAGAACTGACAAATTCCAAGTTCCGGGGATGCGTCAGAAATCGAATTTCGTTAGAATGATTTCACACTTTGTCCGTTTGAATCTACTCTGAAGCTGTCCGGAGTTTAAGCACCGGACTGCTCTTGTCCAAACAAACGAAGATCGCATGAAAGGCCACTATATTGGCAAACAATCTCAAACGATACTAACTTTTACTAAGTTGAAATTCACACAACTATTCTACCGCCCTCACAATACAATTTGTGTGCTGGCAGGTTGTATAAAACTGATAAGCATCCTCACTAAAACAGACATCGAAGTGAATGGCTACAGATTCACTACTTCATAGTATGGCAAACCTCTCTAACACAAGATCACGTTTTATTCGAGTCTACAAGGTGGCATATCTTATCCATGCTTCCACGCAAGGGGAAATGCGATGTTCAAAGAGTTGAAATAGCCTGGTCTCTGTAAAGTTTAGGGTCATTTCATTCTTTATATGACGACTATTAACATCACATGAATGTAAATGACCCTTGAATTGGCCTATTATTGTCACGGACAACTGCTTACGGCAGTTTGTTAATTGTCAGTAAACCTGTTATTTCCGTCCAGCAGATCTCACTATTTGAATAATGGCAGTTGGCTTGTGAAGAAATTAAGAAACCTGCTGAATCCAGTTAGCGAGTTCCTGTTCTCCGGAGCCCAAAATTTAACCCGAGCCCTAGTTACCGCAATGGGTAGGGAGAAACGCAGTTGTTGCACTGACAAAGAAAATAAAGCTACAAAAAAATGCCTTTCGGATCAAACTTATCAAATAAACAACAAAAATCATGTGTTACAAGTAAAAAACCAGAAAATTTTTCTGTACACTCTCATGCATGTCATGCATGTTAAATGGTCATAGGGTGTCATATAAACTTGAACAGCTAGTTGAACAACTATAATTAGCCAAAATTAAAAAAAGCACCGAATGACTACCGGATTTAAGTGAGCATTTCCTGATGCAATCAACAATGCTATGAAGGGGCCACCTGTCGTGTTTCCAGAACTTCCGTTTCATTAAGCTCTCACGCTCCCTAACAGATGTAAGCAGATATGGAAATTTTGGTTACCCACTTGAGAATTTGTGCATTTAGGTGCTAGATTAATAGCTGTTAGATTCCTGCAGCTTATAAAGTGGAACGGCGGAAGTTGATAACTGGGTATCGATGGCTGTCTGCGTAGCGAGAGTAGGGAACCCCCAACTTGGATGTTTATACGAGGCGCCTTGACACATACAAACAGGTGGTGATGAACTCACTGATCGGCTTAGGCTCAAATATGGCACGACAGTTAGCGTGAGAGTTAGCGTGCATTCTGTCGAAAAGGGAAACCTGTCACACTCGTAGGTCGCAATATCTGTTCACAAATAGGTCACATTAAATCTAGATGCTGAATTCATAACAAAGGCTGGCGCCGAAATTCTGAAAGTCGTACAGAAATTAAAGTGTGTGCATAAATTCGACCCCAAGTTAAGCCACAATAAAATAACTTAAATTTGAAGCTTGGTATGCTACATGAATCACGAAACAAGATCGAGTTTCCAGGATCCAGCATTATAAACCATAGTGGGGAACTTTTATGAGATGTGAAATGATACCTACCTCAGAAACGGAAGAAAGGGTGGGATGCGTTAAAAACCTGCCTTACTGTTAATAATTAAATCAAAATTTCAGCAGGTCTTTAGCCCAAAGACTAGGTAACGGCACTTAAATGTCATGACTAAGTATTTTAAGTGTGTAGTGTTATTATGTAAGGCATACGACATAATTATTTGTAATTAAGCAAATAGTGACTACCAGTATTTTTAAGATGTGGTTAGACTGAGTGCACAGATATTAGAGTTAATTAAATTTCAGTTGGGAAATAACATTATCTATAAAACTATTAGGTTTATGAATTAATTAGTACAGATTCATTTTTCGAGCTTAAATTTGTACTTAAAATAAAAATATTTTTAAGGTCTCTCCTACATTTGAAAGGATCAGACTCAGGGTTTCTGTACACTGAACGATAAGTCTACGCGAGTTATATAACCTCTCAGAATGCCAACTACTAAACAGCACGTTCGATGGCACTTCATTTATACCAATTCCAACAAGAAAAAAGTGCTTTTAAAGCACAGGGGAAAGCAGTTTATGGTTTTCTTTGTGTAGACGTCCTGTCTTGTCCAATGCGCAATTATTGGTAGAAACATTTGAAGAAGTGCGAATGCTAGCTCTAATGGATGAAGACTCAACGTAAACGCAACAAGAGCTCGTAGGCCAGTTAGGCATCGTCCAAAAAGCTATTGTTGAGCGTTTGGACCAAGTGAGAAAGCTTCAAAAACTTGGAAGTTGGGTCACACCACATGTGACGGCCAAACACAATCTCAGTCAACGCATGTACACACACCTTTCATTATTTGCCTGTCGGCAACAAAAACAGACTCCTTGTGATAGATTATGACGGGTAATGAAAAGTTTATTCTGAACGAGAATTCCAAACGTAAAACGTCGTGGGTTGGTCCCGATCAACCCAATACATCGACGCCAAAACCGGATATCCACTTGGAGAGGGTTCTCCGGTGTATCTGTTGGGGGACATGATTGGCGTACTTTATTACGAATTCCAGGAAACTGGTCATCAGACTGTGACTGATGGACGCTACATCGGACAATTGAACAAACAGGGCTAAGACCTTT